TAATAATAATACATTATTACTCTTTGAATAATTTTAAGGTACTAAAAGCCATTTTGGAAGAGGGTCCAAACCAGGATAAGCTCATCAACATGGTCCAAACAGACACACTTCCAAAGCACATTATTTGATTATTATTCTTATATGTTATTATTGTCGTAAAATAACCTCAGTTTAATATTTAAACAAAGTTTACAAAAATATTGCCATATTTTGAATTAGAAGGAGAAGAAAAATAACATGTATTGACATTGTATCAATGTACAATGAAATTAAACGATGTATTACGTAGTTATTTCAACAAAATGCTCTAAAGTCCCTGCAAGACTTCACCTCAAGCTGCAGTGGAAGTGCTACAGCTAGCTGCTGCAACAGCTGCTTCTGTCACACTGATGGTAAATATTGGTTTTGTGAACTTAATGGTGATTTAAAGCTTTATAAAATAGTGTTTGTACGATTGTTGTTAGAGTTGTTTTAGGAGGACATTAACTCACTTTGGTCTTTGTCCTGTTTGGACTAGCCTTTAGCTCATCAGTCCTGTCAGATTTATATTATATTCTTCCAAACTGAGGATGTTTAAGATCTATCTAAAACATATAATATAAGATTTCCTCCTAACTTTTCTCAGAACTCCACTTCAAAATGCAAAAAAATTAACATAAAAAATTAAAAAACACAAAGCCTCATTGGTGGAGAATGACTGCATCAAGAGTTGTAGAAAGTCTGAAAAAGTGTTTTTCGGACACTGCAGTTATACAAAGATTCATTTATCTTCCAAATATAATCAGAAGTGTTGATTTGAGGCTTGGGAAAGTGAAGGAAAATGTTTCTGTAGAGTGAGAACCTCAGCTTTTAAATAAAGTAAAAACACAAAGACACTTCTTCCACTGTGGGCAACATGAATTGTTCTGCCTTCATCCTGTTCACCCCTTCATATGTTCGTTTCTTTTTTGCATTCTTTGAAGGTAAGACTCCTTTTAAACTCTCTCGGGTATGGCTGCTACTCTCAACGAATAAACTGTGCTTCTGCTGGTACATTTTTCTCTCCACTGAATCTTTGATTTATTTATTTTTTCTTTTTTTACATTCATGATTATTTCATTCGTTCTGTGTGAGTCTCTTTGTATTGGACTCCCGTGTTTAACTCCCTGCATCGGTCCTAAGCTCTGAGCGTGCCGCGCTACAGTCGATCCAGAAAACACAATCCTGCTGAATGTGATGAAACTATACCCTGTGTCTGAAGACGTACGAGGATTTATGAAACCTGGAATGTAGTGCAGTGTTGCTCAATCAGTCGCACAGTGTTGTACAGTCTTTTTTTTAATCCGCTGAGTTGTTAAAGTTCTTTGTGTTTGTCTGGTGAAGAATAAGTCCAAACGACAGCTGTGTGCTGTACGGTCCAGAGTGTCTGTATGCCGGGTAGCAAAGGAAACGAGCCACACAGTCAAGAGACGCCACTCGGACTCAGCAGCAAAGGTGCACACGTGAGTGAGGATGTACACCACTCTGACATGTCACCATGCACAGCTGGGGAGTGTGTGTTGTCATTATTTGGTTCCTGTCCTGTAATTCCCACAGTGCTTTTTCTTCGTTACTGTTCGATCACGGCTGTAAACTCTGTCACGGGAAGTTTTCTTGCTCTTTACGTGGAAAAACTAAATATGCAGGGCTAAAAAACCAATAACATGCTCCTGGAACACTGCTTAAAATGTCTGACCTTTAAGTACATAAGTTGTTAGAATAAAAAATACAATACAATAAATAAAATAGTTTTGGCCATAAATCTCTTCTAATGGTCAGCACGTCGTTTGAGTCCGGTCCTTTCAGGCATCCGAACTTCTGCCGTGCTTCGCTAAAATCAGCTTCCCGCCTCTCCACACGGTGCAATGTTGCCCCTCAGACAAAAAAAATATTTTAAAAATCAAGCAAAATTTCCAAAATAATCTCATGGAGTCAGAAATGCTTCTGAGTGGAGTCCACCTTCTAAAGAAAGAACCCCAACACCGCCACCGTGCACCTCTCATGCAGTACATCCAGGGACTCTCAGCAGGAAGCGTGAAGCCGGAGCAGAGAGGCAAACGCAGGAAGGAGAGGTGTTTTGACAGGTGGACTGAAGGGATTCAGATCATCAGGTCGCCACAGCAGGTGACTTGATTTTCAGATTGCAGGATGACAAACTGCGCTTTTATTTTCCATCTCAAGTGATCAAAAAGAAAAAAAAAATAACACAGTCGTAGCATAGAGCCTTATGAAAGGTTTAAGCAAAATGCATCCAATTTAAACAAAATATCTGGAATTGGTTCCTGATTCCACGGGTTTTCCACTCCAGAGCGTTGAGATCCTGAATCCGGCTCAGAGCTCAATCTCAAAGGTCTTTTGCAGGCTGTTGGAAAATGGGTTTGCAGCTGGCGCCTTGTTCTCTGCCACCTGAGGGGCTGGTTTTGTCTCCAGCGCCGCCCACTTGGCTTCAAAACGGTCATCGTCTTGGGTGTTGATAGCTGCCGGAGCTGTGAGCTGGCTGCCCTCTGGAGGCCAGCTGCTACTGCCGCCACCACTGATCCCAGTACAGCCTGAGGTCCCGTTCTGGAGGGTGGTTGTTGCGCTGCTGTGTGGTGGGAGGCCGTTGATGGATGTCAACAGGGGTGGAGTCGAGGGAAACGAAGCCGCGGGAAACCCTGCAGACGCACCAGGTGCTCCTGGGTAGGAATGGTGCTGTCCCACCGTTCCTAGCGCCCCCACTTTGGAGGCTGCTGCAGTCGATCCCATTGCTCCACCTGTGCCTGACGAGCCTGTGGCGGTGCAGAAGGCGTTGGCCACCATTTGCGATGGTGTGATGCCCACCACGGGCACACTGGCGTTGGGATAGGTCATGCTGCTGGCCAGGCCAGGCATGTATGTCTGCATGGGCAGGAAGGCAGGTTGAACCGGCTGACCGGCAAACATTCCTACAGGAGCCGGGGTGGCATCAAAAGCCAGAGGGAACGGTTGCATGGAGCTCGGAAGGGAACCAGGGGGTCCAGACAGAGAGGGCTGCATCATGGAGGCCCCGGACATGCTCGGACCTGACATGGTAGGGATGGACATGGATGGAAGAGACATTGGGGGGCCTGACACTGGAGGACCTGGTATTAGAGGAACAGATGATATCGACATGGGTGGGAGAGGCATGGGGACTTGACAGGGAAGAGCAGAGGGGCCTGAGATAAGTGGTTTGGACAAGGTGCTGAGGGGCATGGAGACGGTGGAGACCGGGGCAGCTGGCATGGCTGCCTGAGTGGATATGTGATGGCTGGTCATTGAAGGTGGCCCGGGGATGGTGGGGATGGTGGGGCCTGGAGGGGGTGTCTGTTGAGCTTTGACAGCCTTGGACACTTCCTCCAACCATCTCTCAGCTTCTGATGGCGTACGCCTGTGTCCACTCTGCACTGCCGTGGAAACCGGTGGAGGAGAGTGGAGGGAAGCTTCTGGCTGAACCCAGGTCGAGGTAGCTGCAAAATCAGAAGGAAAAGAATAGTTTTTTAAAGTGGAAACACCTCTTAATCCAGAGTAAGGTTCAGAACACCGATCTGAAACAATCAGCCTGATTCTCACCGTGCATGGGCGCAGGGGGTGGAGGCAGAATGGGGGGCACAGTGCAAGCCGGTGGGTCATTAGCAGATACAGACTGGTTGATGAAGAACTCGTCAGACGGCTTCGTAAAGGAGGCGTTGATCTGGCAGCACAGGGCGTTGATACTACTGTCACCTTCGCCTGGTAGGCCCATTTCCATCTCTAGTACTATGAAGAAAGGAAAACACAGAGGGTTGGTGGAAGAAATTAAAGAAAAGAAAATGTTGGGTGGGATAAAAAAGAGGAGTGAGCGGTGAGACAAACAGAAGAGAAGCAATCGTCCCAGTTAGCAACAAAGGCAAAGTAGAACAAAATAGACCTCATAATAGGGCTGCTTCAAACGATTATCTTTATATTCGACTAATCAGATCATACATTAACTGAATATAAAACATAGAGCTTATCGCGCCAGAATGCAGCTGCTTTTATATAACCATCGTTAGATTTTAACTATATGCTAACTAAAAATAATTGCAGTGGAAGGCAAGTTCTGCCTTGCAGATATTGCACAGGTTTCTCTTTCATTTTCTTAAAATGATCCCACACTTTTGAGCTCCATTGCCAGGTAGCCATGATACCAGAGCCTGTCTGTATAATGTCTTGTGACGTCCACAGCCTACCCCAGTTACCACTACTGTGCATGTGTGTCAAGGACAGAAAGGCAGATGTGGCAGTGGAAGGTGTCAAAGCAGTTTGAAGAGAAAAAATGTAATTGTAACTAGTCGACAAATCATGGCAGCCCTGTCTCATAATGCCAAAAACAAGCTCAAGTTCCAACCTGGTTCCTTAAAGGGATTCACGATTTGTTGTAACATTAGACTTCATTTGATAAACATATTTTAACTGAAAAAAAAGGACAAAAAATACTGTAGGCTGTTCAGTTTTGTAATTTTAAAAAATATATTTTAATATGGGCTGAGCCATTTTATAAAGCATTCTGGGTAAATGATGACGTGGATAGGTCTTCAGTTTGAGCGAGCTATATCCACCCTGAAGGTTGAACTTGGACAATATCTGACGATTTAGCTTTTACAAGCTAAACTGTTGTCCTCCATCCATATTTTCAGTTACAGGCTGAGTCATTTCTACCTTCTCCTCTCTGTCAACGCTCTCTGGTTTCATTTAAAAGAGTCGATCATCAGATATTGTCCAAGATTAACCTTCAGGGTGGATATAGCTCCTTAGCAGCCTCGCACCGATGACCTAGTTGATGTCATCATTTACCCAGAATGCTTTGCGTGTAATTTTGGGAGAATTAAAGGGATCCCCGATTAGTTGTAACATTAGACTTTATATGACAAACATATACTTTAACTGTAAAAATACTGTAGGATGTTCAGCTGAGGTTCTTCTTCCATGAAGCAGCTCTGTTGTCCTCCATCCATATTTTCAGTTCCAGGCTGAGTCATTTCTACCTTCTCCTCTCTGTCAACGCTCTCTGGTTTCATTTAAAAGAGTCAATCGTCAGATATTGTCCAAGATTAACCTTCAGGGTGGATATAGCTCGCTAGCAGCCTTGCACCAATGACCTATCCACGTCATCATTTACCCAGAATGCTTTGCGTGTAAATAAAATGGCTCAGTCTGTGTAGTATATTGTTAAAAATTTAGTTTAAAAATTATAAAAACTAAACAGCCTAGTATTTTACAGTCTTCATTTTACAGTTAAAATAAATGTTTATCAAATAAAGTCTAATGTTACAACTCGTGGATTCCTTTAAAGCAACTCTCACTTGGCTGTGACAGTTGAAGACTAGTTGTCAACTCAAAATTGCCTAAAAATAATCACATTTTTAGTCACAGCCTTCCCAAAATCAGAGCGTTCGAGACCAACAAAACGTGTAGATGTGGTTTGGGTCACTAATTTAGGATATTTTCAACCTTTTTTCAGGTGTATATCACATTCTGGTCCGTGCATATTATTTTGTACCAGCTGACACGGCTAACTTCCATAGCTGCTCCGCCCTCATCTTACCAACACTGGACCTACATTGGCAGCTGATTAGACTTGAACATTCGGGGCTGTGGCCTCAGATGTTTATTTTTGGAAAAACTTGTATCAAGACAGACATTTCAAAACACAGATCTATTCAAATCAAAAATTAAGCTCTTAAAACTTGTAATGTTTCTGTCTAAAACTTTGATAGGAACATGTTGTGCTTTCTTTACAAGCTTCGATACATTTGCATTTAGAGTCTGTGACGTGCATTTATGCTCGATTGCAGAAGTTGAAAAACAAAATGTAGGCTATTAATTAGTGGTGGGGGTGCAGCTCTAGGGCCATCACAGACCTGTTATTGATAAATCAGCAAAATGCCACTATGCTCATCAATGTCTCCACCTGACTAATGTGGCAAGCAGGTACGACCAAAGTGGTGTCAAGTGCTCCACCTGTGCCAGCATGAGCTGCTCTGTGGACAGTGGCAGTTGGGGAGTTTGACTGGGGAGGTCCACTTGTCAAACACTAACACAGCTGTCGTGAGGAGTGCTGAGCTGAAACCAGTTCTATGTGGAAGTTCTATGACTCAAATGAGTGATTTTTTTTTTCTTTGCAAGTGAAGTGCATGCAGGGCCAAGTAAAATATTTCAAAAACAAAAATTGTAGTAAAATAGACCAATCTGTTTGCAGGTTTTGCAAATCAAATCAAAGTCTTGTATATCATTTATTTGCCTACAAGTGTATGATAGAAAAGAAGATTCAGTAAGAGTACAGACTAAATAAATGAATATATTTTTGCACAGAAAGGCTCATTGTATGGCAAACCCTTCTGCTGCTGAGCTACCCAGGCCCACTCTTTGAATTTGAATGTATACCTCTTTAAGCCAAGTGCACTGTAACATTATAGGGCTTGAATTGTATCGAAGGGAGCAGAGGGTGCAGGAAGCATGTGTGAGGTGTTTGTTTCACAAAACCTGACCATGTCAGCCATGTCTTTTTCTCTTCTAGTCAACAACACACTGATTTCAGAGGTGCTGAAAGACGCACACAGTCAGGTCCATAAATATTAGGACAAATGACACAATTCTTATCTTTTTGGGTGGATTTGAAATGAAACAAACAGGATGTGCTTTAACTGCATATTCTCAGCTTTGTTTGAAGGTGTTTACGTCCGTATTGGGTGAACGGTGAATTAGAACAGTTTGTAGATATGCCTCTTACTTTTCAAGGGACCAAAGGTAATTTAATAAATTTGATAATTATAAATCAAACTTTCAGTTTTTATTATTTGGTTGCAAATCCTTAGCAGTCATTTACAGCCTGAAGTCTGGAACACATGCAGGTTTCCGGCTGTAAATTACCTCAGTTCAAGGAGTAAGATTGTGGAATAACTTGGACAGTGATTATAAAAATGCTGACTCGATTAATTTATTTGGTAAAATGATAAAAGCTAAATTGTTGAAAAAATATGAAGCTGATGTTTGAGGGGTTAATCAATTTTTTTGTTATGCCAATGAGGGTGTAAAATTATATACAGTATGTGCATGTGTATATATGTATGTATATATATGTATGAATGTGTGTATGTGTACACATATAAATGTGTATATATTTTTATTTTTATTATTCTTTTTTGTAAAATAGGGGCAGATATAAGATTCTTTTCTTCTTCTGCTTCCTTTCATTTTATGAGATTTGTGTTTC